TTGTAAAGTATTTTGTAAGGTGTTCAGGGAAATGCCAATTCTTGCAAACATGTCCAAAGGTGAATATCACTTTTTTGTTGAGTTTTTATTCTTATGCCCATTCAGCAGCCAGGCTCAACATGCCTTCATTATAACTTTAGTGTAGTAACCAGTAAATCTCTCTTCTGAATTTATTATATGCTTACTCTAATCTTTCTGGAAACTCCAGTTCTCATCATGTCAGCCCATATGCTGTTCTTTCCTCCAGTGCTCTGGGAACAGAGAGATCTCAAATTCAGTGAGGTCAAAAAATGAATGCTTTGAGTTGAAGCTTGAGGTATGTTCTGCATCTCAGGAGGCTTCACTTCTCAGACTCTTTCCTTTCATCTGGGGTTGTCACAGTGTTAGGCTGAAATTTTGGAAATTTCACCATGTCAGTAATGGTGAACAGACCTTACCTGCAGGCTCCGTGAAGTGAACCTGAATTCAGGTGGACATTTAATGTGAACTTCAGTATAAACCAAGGAGAAGCTGTAGGCTTTTTATGGCAAATCGGTAAAAGAAAATAAATAATCAGCTAAACCCTAGAAAATACATAAAATGTAAAGGTGGCACTTACCCTTGTGAAGTCTACAAGCAAGTTCCCTAGCTTTTCAGTGAAGTATAACTTTAACAAAAGCATATTTAGGCCAGCTATACAGAAACGTTTGACAATTTGATGGAGTTTCTTCATTTTTAATCTGAATAATGTGAAGTATGACCCATGTCCTCCGATTTTATTTATTTTTGTTAGTTTTACATGCTTTTCAAAGCTCAGTAAAATGGAATATGTCTGTCTAAGTATGCCTTATACCAGATTGCCATGAAGCGCTCATAAATTACACATTTGTGGGTGACAGCTCTTGCAGGTAAAGTAGTTCATCCAGATACAGTGCCAAAGTGAGACATGAGCAGCAATTGGATTTTTGATTTCTGAAACATGCAATTACTTTTGTATATAAAAGGAAGCAGTATGTATGCCAATAACGTAATAGAGATTAAATTAATTTACTGTCATAAGTTCACCAGGAAGGTCTGCATTTTACAGATGCTAATAAATTCGTTCAGCATTCGCATTAGCATACCACATCATCTTTAAGATCTGGTATCACAGATGCAGAAGAGCTGAAGCATGCTCCTGATGAAGATTCTGGTCAGTGGTTTTGGCATTATTTTTTTAGCTGCCTTGTCCATGAAGTCAGATGGATATGAATTTCTAGAAACTTTAAGATAGGATTCTTAGTTTTTCTGACAGAAGTAACAAACGTTAGTCTTCAGGGACTTTTAGAGTTCTCCTGGGCCACACGTGCCACAAAGTAGAATCCCCTGTGCTTGTTTTTTGACTAGTTGAGGCAGGCACAAAGAAAGGGGAAGGAGGGGAGAATGGAATGAGGAATAGCCTCCTCTCACTTCTTGCTTGACCACTGGCACCTCACAGCCTCTTGGCACTGTGCGATACCTTCTCCTTTCAGCTTAGTAGTTGTGTGTGCTAGATGCGAGGATCTAGAGAGATGCTGTACTGTTCTGCAGTCTTTTAGAGGTATATGCTACTGAAATATATTATGTATCAACTTGCAGAATGACATCAGACTAGGACATGATTAACATTTCTGTTATTCTGTTAGTTCATCTGTAATGAGTAATGGGCTTAACAGTATAGTGATGCGGCTTGTAAAAAATTTTTACATCAGCAAAAGACATGGCAGAACTTGAATTTAAATTTTAATAAAATTAGTCTGAGGATAAAAATTATGCTTGTCTGAACTGAAATGTGAAGACTGCATAAATTAGAATTACAGTTTGGGATGCTTTTTTATGAATGAGAAAGTTTTGCAGTTACAGCCTAACACAGTTAAATTTGCAGCAATTAATTCTGTCTGTTGGAGTAATTTTTCTGGGTTGTCTGTATTTTGGTTACCGTAATAAGACTGTCTTCCCTTCTTCTGTAGTCTCTTTGAGAAAATCTAAAATGACTGCTTGCTTAAAAAGTATGTCTTTCATATAGTTGTAGATGGATATTTTAATTTCAAGTGAAGTTTGATACTTCAGATACCTACCTCAAGCCAGAGGCCTGCTTTGCCTCCTGTATACCGAGACACAGTTTTGACGCATACTTACAGAAGTTGTTAAGACTATGTTAGTTTTACTACAGTACAGAAAACATCTTTTTGGAAAAAATAAAGAGATACCTCAAGGATAGTTAAAATACTTTTGACAGCTGAGATATATTTGTGCCACAGTTCCTGCTTGATTGATAGGAAAAAGATTTACTTGGAGATTTAATTATAGCATGTTGAAATCTAGGTTCTCATAGATAGTATTAAATATTTAGATCTAATGCTTCCTTCTAACAACTTGTTCTGGATATGTTGGGGTCTTTTTGGTTACATTTTGAAAGGACCTGATAAATTGCATTAAAAAGAGTTGAAAATTTTGTGTCACAAATGAAGAGTTTCCTTTTTTTTTTTATAGTGCAAAGGGATTTCTATGGGACAGATCTAAGATTTAAGAAAGCAGCAAGGCTGAGGAAGTTGGCTTGACAAAAGCATAAGGGCTTAGGGGAACAAATGTACCTTTAGTGCAACCAGGAGAAGTGATGGGTTTTTTGTTTCACTCTAGTGATCGTTGCAGTACAGATAGCACTTCATCTTTCCAGCTGCCTGGAGGCTTCCATTGCCAGAGACCCTACTGTAATTGTTCATGTTCTAAATTCTTAAAATCCAACCACAGATAACTTGCACGTATGGACTAGGTGGTGTTTAGTCCTCTGTTTTTGTAAGGTGTCCTTAAATAGAATGTTGATAGATTGATTATTTTTCCTCCCTTTTTAAATGATGCTTATACTTGGTGGTTGACAGAATCAGTTTCAATTAATAAACAGGTTCTTGTTACAAAAATGCTACACTCCTCTGATATGCTGTGAAAGAGCAAGCATGAATTGAATGTCACAGAAACTGCAAAAAAAAAAAATAAGACTTTTCAGTAGCTAAAGTATGTAAACATCTTGAATTTTTGATGCAGACTCACAGTTAGCTTTCTTACTGTGGTTTTGGTTTGGAGGTCTTTTCTCCTCCTTGACAAATTTTTTTTTTACCAGAAACTTACTTTTCTTATAACTGGAACACAGGTGAGTATTTCACTCTTAACAATCTGTAGATTCTGTATATTTTGGTCTGTGATTTTTCATTTCAATGTTACAGAAGTTCATCTAAACTGTGAAGTATTCAGGCTCTTTTCACTGAGGCCACCACATATTTGTAAATATTCCTTCCCCTTCTTCACGCACCACATAATATTTGTCTGTCAAGGGTTGGATTTGTTACTTCAGGTCATTCTTTAAAGCTTGCTTTTTTCTGTATTTTTCCCTTACCCTCTTCTGGGGGGAAAAACGACTGACAACAGCTGGTCCTAGTTCTCTGTTCAGAGAATCTCACATTTTGAACATTGTTGATGTGCAAAATTTATTATGCGCTCATAACTTCCAGTGAGTGATTTTAGATGAGATAGTTTTGGATCAGCAGTCATTTGGGAATTTGTGCATGCTTTTAGGTGGGAAAGGAGGGCAAAATTATTCCAACTGTTCATGGAAATAACAATGAGGGCAGTGCCCAAAGAAGCAAAAACTGGGAGTCTTGGAATTCTTACTGGTAGTTCAGAAGAGAAGATTCTACCCAGTAGTTTAATAGCAGAGAAGATTTCTTTTCTAGAAGGCTTTATTGACTCAACAGAGGAAAGAAACTGCACTTAGAGGCTTTAGTTTCAGAAAGGGCCATTTTACGTGCAGACTGTTCCTCTTCAAAGTGCCATGAAAACCTTTCCACTAATCAACTGGCTCCATGATTTCCATTGCATATCTTCCTGTCCTCCTGACAGAGTTCCCAAGACTACAGACACACAAGCAGTGTAACGAAAACCATAAAATGTAAAATGGGAAGTTAACATTAGCGAAGTTTGCATTTATCTTTGCTAAGAGGGTGTGTGTGCCACTACTTCTGCCACGCTGTAACTGTTAGGACTGTTCTGAGGAGAGAAACTCAGGGATAGTTCGGTTACTTACATCCAAGCTAAAACGGTGCTTTAAGGAAAATTCATGCCTTTCTTAAATACAGGTGAAAAACTGGCATAGTACAATGGTGAGATACCAGTTTTAGAGTATAATTTTTGTGACTGTAGTCCTAAGGCACGGGTTTTCAGTTCAGCTATAGGATGCTCCACATGTGTAAGTGCCCTAATTCTGTAAAAATGATAGAGCACTTAGGTGCCTGTTTGCTGTCTCATGAAGCTGTGGTCACACTTAAGAGAGGAGAACTTTGTTTTGTGGCCAGAGTGCTGGATGTAGATTCAGCAGGATTGAATTAGATCACCAGACTTTGTATTTGTATTTTAGCAATGTAACCTAGTAAGCAACCTAAAATCTGAGAATATAAAGATACTGAGGCTAAAATCCAGTAGTGAGTATGAGGTGCTCAGTTCTTTTCATCTGGAAAGTCATGTACATATGTAGGAAAGTAAGAGTTTAAGCAGCCTATTTCACCTCACGGACCGGTGGTTTTAATCCGATGGGAGTGAGCAGCAGGTGCAGAAATTTAAGCAGTTGAGGAAACTGAATGAACAAATAGAAGTGGAAAAGGGCAAAGAAAAAGTAGTTTGTACATTGATCGGTCATAGATAAAAGGTTATTTTTGATAGGGTATGTGGTCTCATGCTTGTGCAGTTCTGTCAAGGAGTTTATCCCTGGAATCCATTGTACAGTAAAGAACAGTGTGGGGGTTTTGTGTCTAAATGTCTTAAATGACAGATGTGATAGATGCTTATTCCTTTCATAGGGAACAAATGCATAAAAGGTTCAGTGTTGCGTTTTGAGTTATGGTATTTGTGGTACTCATGGGTTTGCAGTTTTTCAGAGTAGAGTTTGTATATCTTTATAGTTCCCAGAATCCTATTGCAAATAAAGTTTAACAGAGCTTCTTTGATTGTTTTAGAGGTGTGTTTGATGCTTCCCTCAAAATGGCTGGGTTCTATGGACTCTACACTTGGCTGACTCACACTATATTTGGGATTAACATAGTCTTCATACCATCTGGTAAGAATTTGAACAATTACAAACTGTGTATAGATAATATTAAATAATGATTTATTGTAAAAGATCAGCAGGGTTAAATGTTGCTGATAAGATTATTTTTGAAGTTATTTTTAGAAAATGGCCATGGGTAACATGGAGAGAAGTCCCTGATTGCTGTCTTACCTCTGAGTCTTGCCTTTTTCTGTTTTCACAACACATCCCCTCCCCGCTATTTTAATTCTGTTTCTTTTGCTGGATGTAATTCTTTCTCCCTTCTATTCACTCCAAGTCTTTACAGGTTTTAACTTAATTCTGCCTGCCTTGGCTTTTGTTTCTACCATGGTTGGCAGGTGCTGATTTCTCAAGATGCCTAAATGCAGGAAGATGTGGTATCATGAAAATGCACAATAGAGGCATGCTGCTTATTCTCAGTACTGTTCCCTGACTCTCTTACCAGCCTCTGGTTTTCTGTTATTCTTTAATCTTAGCTTTGGAAATGGCTGAACAGTTTTCACTGGAAAGTCGTCTTCTCTGTTCCTCTTCTGCCTCTCTTCCCCTAAAAATAGTAATAATAATAGTAATTTTAAACACGTTGTACCTTCATGTATGGGGAAACAAAAGGGGAAGCTGTAAAGCAACAAAAGCCAATGTAATAGGAAATATCTGTATTATAGAGTACAACTACCTTAAAGGCATTGGTTGTTGTTAGACCTACTTAAAAGGTAGTCGTTCTTTTTCTTTCAGCCACATGCAATATCTTAAAAATTTTTGCTTTGTGATAAATAAGATTAAAACCAAGAAAAAAAATGTAATTATGTTCACTGCTGTTGCATTAAATTAGAATGACAGCAGTACTGCCTCACTTTAGATTACAAGGGGTATTTGTAACATCAGAAGGGTGTATGCCTCTGTGTACATGTATGCATGCAGAGATACATAAGTCATGGATTTTATATTTGGTTTCTCACAGTACTACGTACATTATTATGGTGACTGCAGGAGATCCAGTAAGTTACAGTGAGACTTCTGCTTGTGTACTTTCTTGCGCACAGTTGCTAATTGGTAGTTATGTAAAAGTTTGAAATGTGCATGATTGGTATAAGGTTAATTTTTTCTGAATTGGTGCCTCTTTTGGAAGTAACTCTTTGAGTGACAGTTGGTGAAGCTTTTCTGTATGGGGAATATAATTTTCTTTTTTTCCTAAACCACAGCTATAAAACACCAACAACCTTATGTGGCCCTTCTTCAGTGTCTCATTTATAACAGTTGATAAAAGTGGGACTACTGGTATGGCAAAAGTGTCAGAATTTAACTGTAAATATATTTGTAAAATATGTTTCTCTGGTCTTTTTCTCACCTCTGTTTCTGTGTGCTCTAGCATTAGCAGCAATCCTTGGAGCAGTGCCATTTCTGGGAACGTACTGGGCAGCCATCCCTGCAGTCCTAGATTTGTGGCTTGTGCAAGGGCAGGGCTGCAAAGCCATTTTGCTGTTGGTTTTTCATCTCTTGCCAACCTATTTTGTAGATACGGCAATTTATTCAGATATATCAGGGTAAGTACATTGTAGACTTTCGAAGTTAGTGTTGTAAAAATGCTTAACGATTGTTGACGCCTTTAAACTTACTTTTCTGAAGCGTGCAGAAACAGTATCTTCAAGCATAGGAGCTGGTGTAGTGATACCACCTCACAGTGGGAAGTCTTACTGGCCTAAGTGCCTTTACTGTCATGGGCCTCTTTTCTGTGAACTTTGTCACTGCGGAGGTCTCAGTCTTCATCTTAAAGTCAGCACAATCAACTGTTTCGTTTGATAAAGTAATTCTAAGAATACCTTTGCTGTTTATCTAATCACTGACTATAGATGTCTAGCATTTTCCTTTCTATCACCTAACTCCAAGTGATGCTGCAGAACAAACAAGAAATCCATGAGCTAGTTAAGGACCTGAAAAAAATAATTTAATTTTTCAGAATGGGTCGTGAGAATTTTGAGGATTTTTTTTGGAGCCAGTCTTTGTGTTGTGTCACCATTACGGATTGATCTTTCGGTGTGCTGAGACAGACGAAATAGCAAAACTGGAGATAGGCTTCTACGGAGACAGTAGCCAGTGCTCTCTTCCTGTTGTGGGAGTCAAGCACGGATTTATTGAAGAACCTTGCTAGGTGCGTGGCTGCCCCTATTGACTTGAAATGTTTCCTGGTTTCAGCTTTGTACACAGAGAAACAAACTCCAAAGTGCGGAGACAAAGTCAGCGTTTGCAGTTGTATCTGGAATGCAGCTGAAATGTCCACTCCCATTTTCTGCTGCTGTGAAATGTCTAGTGAATCCCTTTATGCAAATCAGACTAGAAGATGAAGCAGCACTGTTTAACAGAGCTGGCAGAGATATGAACTGTCAGGTTTCCTATGTGCAAGACATGGTCATAACCATGTACAATATAGATACAAAGTTGTATTCCTAGTTATTGCTTCAGTCTTGATCATCAGAAACAATCCCGGTAAAACTGGATTGAAGACTTCATGGTCCAGACTTCGTTACATTCTGGTACAAGTCCCTCGTTTGTGCTGATTTTTATTATAGTAGTTAATGTAGAATAAGGTCATTAAGTTAGAAATTAATGTTTTTGTACACCAAATATAATTGCACTGAAGAGAGAGAACCTAATGATAATATGCACAATATTAATAATAATTTTCATAGACTGTGGCACTAGTTATTTTTCATTAATTAAAGCTAACAGATGAAGTACAATCAAATTACGATTTTTTTCCAAAAATAAATCATGGATAAATTTAAGGCTAGTAGCTATTTAACCAGCCAATAATTATTCTGCTTATTAGAATACATTTTTAGACTGTAGGGGATGCAGGCTCTGTTTACTGTCCAGAAGATATATGTGGCAGGAATAGATTCTCTGACAGTGGAGCAAAATTGTATTCCCATTTAATAGAACAGTAAGCATTATGCTGTCTTGCAAATTAGATTATAGCTATTTCATATAGATTTAATTAGGTTATGCAGGGTTTTCCAAATGCATTACATTTATACTGTAGTCCTGTTTCATCAGGTGATCTGTTGTTTAATTTGGCAAACTAGCCAGAAGAATATTTAAACTGATACCAAATGCTGGAAAAAAAATATTTGAAGTTTTGAAAGGTTTAGAAATGAACCGTGTGTCTGCTGTTGGAGAAACATAAAACTTTGTCGTCTGTCCCCTCAGAAAAACAATGGGGTCCTACCAGGAGGTTAAATTTGATCTAGGTAAGGCATGATTGAGGTGTCTGTGATGTAACAGGCAGTGCTTCATGGTGTCACTCTGCACACAGTTGTGATGAAGGCAAAGACTAGCAATGTGGGAGTTGGGTAGAAGTCAGGACAGTAGCAGAACCCTGGCAGAAATTGCTGGAGCTCTAAAGTGACTAATTTTCACTCCATTACACTCAGAATTTAGAGCAACTTTCTGAAAATTGGGTGCTAAGTTTCAGCTGTAGCTTTTCTTACATAATTCCATATTGCCATCATTATTTTAGCTATGAAGATTAAGCATGATGAGCAGGTTTTGTGTAAGTGCTGTCGATAGGATTCTTGTTGTGCACCTGAACTGAAACATGGAAAAGAAAACCAGCGTGGCTGGCTTACTGCTATAATAGCTCTTATCAAAAGGTCCATTGGCTCCAACTTTCCAGTGAATATTAATATGTTTATAAAAATCTAGTTTTGTTTTTCATATGAAAACATTAAAAGCTAATGATAACGAACACTCACTGAGAGGTTTTACAACAAAATGAGCAGACATGACTACTTATTATAAGAATCTATGCTAACTGTTCTTTGAAAGATGCAGTGCAAGTTGCTGTCATCATGCAAATTAATGTCTTTGCTCAGGGTCGCTCATAGTACATGTTGCTAGTTGTCTTAAAATTTAACAATTCTTGACCATAAAGCATGAACAGTCTTTGTAATCAATCATCTTTCCATTTTCAAAATGGAAATGTTTTTGCCACTAACTCCTTCAGGCATTCTTCAGCAGATGTCTATAAAGAAGCTACTTCATTGTGGGTATTACCAGCATTACATGCTGCAAGACATTATTTGATCTCTTGTGCGAATGTAGCGTAGAGTACATCTTGGAATATTTCTGCAGTCATTCAAACAGCAGTTTATAGTGTAAATATGAGTATCTATAGCTAGCTATGTCATTTTCTATGCTTAATAAAACTTCATGATTAATTCACATTTCATCATTGATAGTATTGTTTGTTGTTCTTAATTTAATTTTATTCTGCTTGTTCCATAATTCCAGAGGTGGTCATCCTTACCTGACAGGTCTTGCAGTAGCTGGTGGAGCATATTACCTGGGACTGGAAGGAGCCATCATAGGACCAATTCTACTTTGTATACTGGTGGTTGCTTCCAACATATATAGTGCCATGTTGGTGAGTCCAACAAACTCAGTGCCCACTCCATCACAAGCAGCGTGGCCATTACAGATTTATCGGTAAGTTATAAATGTCTTACAGGTGTGCATTATGTTTTTACATGGAGCAATGTATGTATGCACAGGTACAGAGAACGCATGCATGTGTTTTATATGTGAGTTTTATATAAGAGTGTGCGTGTATTGAAGTATTTGAAGAGGATTCAGCTATTGTATTTTCTAGAAATAAAAATGATGATCAAATAAAATACTCACTGGAACTTGTAAACTTGAAATGTTTGTTTACAGAAGGCTCTTTCAGAAAATTCACTGATAATACCTTTGTATCTTATAATTTATATGTTGCCGTTGTGCTAGGAGACAATTGAACATCCTTTTTACTGTGCTTAAACAATTATTCATGGATATCTAGTAGACAGTGTTCATTGTCCTTAACAAGGGGCCTGCCTGCAAATTTCTGTGTGTACAATACTGCAAAATGTAAACATGCTTGAATTTAAAAAAATGATATAACATTAATATGCCAATATTCCATTAAAAGTATGATCTTGATTAACCTCTTTATTGAAGTTACCAAACATGGAATATAGAAATGTATCTTTAAACTGTACAGTTAAGGAATGGGATGAATAAACTCCTAATTGAATACTTAGAGTTGGAAATCTCGTTATGAAGTTATTAATGACAGTAGCCATTTTAATGTCTCTACTGTCTTGTTCAATTATATAGGTTAGCTCATTATACGTATATCTTAAGGAGGATTCTGCGCTTGTCAGAAATAATCCTTTGCTTCATTCACATGAATAATGTTGTCATCTTTCATATGAGTAATTTAGGAGAAAAACCACTAATTGGGCCTGTCGGTAGACTCTGACTTGTAGAAGTTATGTTCCAAGACTTTCTGTATATGCCATAGATAGAGCTTCCCACATTATGCACAAAAATCTGCATGTGTGTTTGTTTCCTGCTTAATTTGTAGGAAACTAGATATTTATTAGTCTGTCTTTTTTTTCCTTTTATTTTTATTTGTTTTCCCTTGTCCCCCCAGGTCATCTAGAGAGAGTCCTGAGGAGACGAAAATGTCTGCAGAATGATGAAGGTGCCGTGCTGCACCTGTTCAACATGAGAAAATTGCTATCTTCTGTCGAGTTCACAACAGCCATGGCCTTCTGTCCCTTTCCAGCTGTGCCTAGGGGCAGCTCACAGTGAAGCATAGCTTGGGTTTTAGGAGAAACCACTTCTCCAACATCTGCTGGCCTTACATTATTGTGCACTTTGCCTCTTCAGGACACGATGTCTACTTCCCATGGCTTTGCATACTAACACACGGTTCAGCTGCCTTGTTGAAGACCTTGAAGAACTTCTGTCCTCATAAAAAGATTAATTAAGAGGACAGGTATATCCACTGGAGTCATTATCTTCTGAAATTACTAACTTGGATTTTATCTATTGGGTTGTGTTATTCAATTGTAGTAGCTTTAAAGAAAGCTAATTCCAAAATATTTGTTCTCCGTTAATCTGGTGGCAAGAAGGGTGTAAACCACTCACTGTTAAATGAAAGTAGACTGTAACTATTTGCTGCTCCTCAAAGTATTTCTTTAGAGGCTTTGACCATCATCTGTAACTCGTAATAACACGTAAGACTCTTACATGCACTGAAATTTAATGTTGTTGGAGACTGGTATTTCTAGTAAATTCCTGAAATTAGTAGACATGCAGATTGTTAAATGAGGGTTTTCCTCATATTGAGATAGGAGGCCTTGTCTAAATAGTTTAAATCGTGCTCTCATTTGCAGTGAAATCTGATAGTGTTTTGCTGTTTACCCACCGTCCTAGTGGAGTCATCTTGTCAACTAAATTTAATCAAAGGCCTTAAGTGTTTTCAGGCAGAGGTAATGCATGATTGTCATGTCTGCTTCCAGTAATAGGAAGAATTTGAATGGGGATTGTTTAATGTTGGCTTTCAAATGCTGTGGCTGAGTTAAGTTAACTTTTCAAACAAATTTATTTCTGAAAAGGAAGGGGAGAGAGCATGGGTTTTGCTTTATTTTAGTTTGTTTTTTTTTTTCTCTGTAAGCCTCTGGCCAAATATCATAAGAAGATGTATCTTACATATCTTAATATACTAAGATATATCTTAATATAATAAACGGAGTTCTTAAATTCCTGAAATGGTGTGTTGCCTAGGTCACAGCATCAAACTCCTCTAGTGCTTTCCTTCCATATGTGATTTTGCTTAAGCTGCAGTTATGGTGACATTTAAGGCCTTTTGTATTGATTGCTGAAATGTTTGACACGACGGATCTTTGTAAATGGATCCTTTTTCTAAATAGGAAGTGGTGTTTTTGGTAGAAATTTCATACTTGAACAGCTTTTCCACAAATACGGCGAGGCCCTGGGTACAAAGTAGCAGATACACATGCTTAACCAAAGAACCACCTTTCAGTTTCTAGTAACTTTTGAATTTATTTCAGAATTTGATTGATAATGAGTTATACAAAATACAGGCATGCCTTGCATTTATTGTTGACAGTAATGCAACTGTTGGAACAAAAATCTGTTCTTATCTAGGGATAAGGATATTTAAGATTTGTGTACAGACAGCTCTCGATAAGGTAAATGTTTGTTTTACTCGAGCTGCAGATGTGCTGATAGATTTGGAAGGCTCTTAATTTCATGACATTGCATGTATTTTTACATTGTTTCTAAAAATGCATTGCCATAGCAAGTGTTTGGAAAGTACTCTGATGCTTACGAAGCAAGAAAGTCCTGCTCTAGGCTTGCAATAAACAGGCTGCCTATTAAGACACAAATAGCCTACTTATCAGATTCTCAAACTTAACTGCTGCACTTTTACAAATGAAACTGTATGCTTAAATGGGGGGGTTAGAATATGCTGGTTTTATACTTGCAAACTTGCAGGAATGTGTTTGGAGGTCAGACTCAGGCTTAATTTAGTGTTTTGACTCAAGTTCATTGATACATGGAAGTGTCGTATTTAATTTTTTAAATTCTGAAAGACCTACGCATCAATTCTAATTAATTGAATAGGAAGGGTGTATTGTTTGAATTAAGTAACTATCCTGTGTTTTTATATCCTTGATTTGGTGGCTTACAAAATCTTTAATGAAACACCCTTTCAGAGCTGTTGCTGGCTGGGGTGGAGGATGACAAAGAAGCTGAGGCTGTCCCTAAGTATTCCTGCAACATTCTAACATGCTTGAATGAGACCATAGTGATACTTGGGAAAATTCTTTATTGTATGACTTTTTTTTAGGTCACAGTTTTGCACTGAAATGTTGTGTTCTTACTATAGGTTCTTGTAGACAGTATTTAAAAAAAATTGCTAGAAAGACAGACGCATCATAAATGTATTTCCAGTTTTCCATTGCTCTTTGCTCACTGCTCAAGACATTTCTGTTTTCCACACTGGTTATCCCAGTTATTTCTGAGACAATCTTTCAGATTCCTATGGTACTCAACATAGTCATTTTAAAGAGTCATTATAAAGCATTATTCTGTTTTTGTTTTCTTCTTCTCCCTCCCCCCTCACCTGACCTCCTTAGATCAAAGAAGGTTCTCTGCTGTGAAGATTAAAATTATATTTCAGACAGTTATCTTCAATGATGGCAAATTGGTAAATCAGCTGAGAAGATATGTTGCTATTTTGAAATGTTCCTTTCCCAACATGAAGAGGAAACATTTTGTATAGAGAATTCCTATCTGATGTAGTCTTTAGTTAGTTTGCCCTCCTTTGAAATGAGGCTTCGTATTGATACTTACTGTTCCGAATTCAGCTAAGACTTGCCATGAAGAACCACCTATAATCTCAGGAAATGTAGCTCAAGGAGCTCATGCTGTGTGCCATGCCTGATTGAGGAACCAGTTGGGTGGTACAGTAACAGTTTACTGCCAGAAAGAAAAGAAGAAACAAAACCTCCAGTAATACCTTCTTACAATATGAAATATTCACTTAATTTCACGATGTTTAAAAAAAAAAACAAAACCAAAAACAAACAAAACCAAAAAGCAGAACAAAGAAAGCGCCACCTTATGAAAAAGTGTACCTTGATTATTTAGGGTTTGTCTTTAGCATCTAATTACCAGTATAAATAGAAGAACTTGTCCTTGCATATTTAACAACATATATAATTTTTTGAGAAGACTCGGCCTCTTTAAGAACAGTTTAGTTTAGATCAATCTCACATTATTACGAAAATAATCAAACTGGTCATTTTGACTTCTCGTCATTGTAATGTACCGGTTTCTGGTTCTATTGCCTCATCTGCAAAAGCAAGCAGCAGCTTTGTGGGATAAGCTTTTGGATGGCTTGTGAGTTAAAAAAAAAAAAAAAAGGAGAGAGGGAGAACTCCTCACATACCCTTTTCTGTAGTGGCATTAAACTACAGTTTTCTTAGGAGAGACCATCTTTTTCATAATGCTTATAAGTAAGAAGTTGATGGCCTTCAGCTTTACTGTAACAGTCATTCCAGGAGCAGGTATTTACTTGTATTTAGTATATTTAGTATTCAATTTGAAGAAAAACAATTTAGAATTCAGAAGCGAATGCTTATAGTTAAACGAAGACAGTGTGGGCTCATGGTACTGTAAAATACAAAAACACAACCCTGCTGGTGTTTATTATTCTCTTCTAGCAAATCAGGCTTGTTGCAGGTAAGTGTCATGCCAAAGGGCTAGTGGTAACTGTTTCTTGCAGTAAGTGAGCCCTTCTTCCCCTTGCTGTACTGTAGCTGAACATTACTGTGCTGGGGCAGAGCTAGCAGAAGTGAACGTGTGCCAGTTTTACAGCCCAACAGGTTAACTTCAGCTCACTGTAAATACTGGCTTGATGGAACACATGAAGCACCAAAGTGCAGCGGGCAAGAATCTGGCACACATTCATTTTGCCAGCCTTACTACAATCTGGTGACTTCCAGCACAAATGCACCGTGGCCAGTTGGGAGCAGTAATGACTTAATTTGAACGACTGCTTTTTTAAAGAAAAAAAGTTGTACATTCTAGTCATACATAAAATATACACTTTTCAGAAATTAAGTTGATACGTATCTAATAATGGAGACAACAGTCTGGGTTTTCCATGTGCAGTGGTATGTATTTGCAGCTCATCTAGGGTACGTTTAAGCTTGTCTGGTTTCAAGAACTGTGTGGCTTCTCTTCAAGACTTTGGGAAGAAAGATAAGTGGATTTTGTCAGTGATTAGGAAATGTTTAATCTGTTTAATTAAACAAAATAGGAAAAATACTGTGTAGGGAAAACTGGATGCTGTCTCCAGTATTATACATTGTGGGTATCAGTGTAACTTCTGAAATAGGTGTATGGCTGTAACGTTAAACACTTTCTCAGAAGGCCTGAAAGTACAAAACTGGGTAAAATTCTTCCCCGGTAAAGAGCAGCAGCAGAATCGCTATGTTGCTGATCCATAGTACTGGTGACAGAATAAAGCAGAGTGCTGCCTTTCCTACAGACCTAATATACTAAGGATGGGAAAATACCATTATTCTCCTGAGGTCCTATAGCTTTGCGTTAGTGGTAGAAGATGCTCCTACAGTGGCCTTGATTCAAACACTGTGTTTATATTGTATTGGCCCAAGTTTGCCACTGCAGATAATGCCACCTTTATGGACGCTACCCCTGGAAACAGCTACAACTTCCTTCAGAAGTGCTGAGAGCTGTTGGCATTAGAGTTAGTATTCATAATTTTTAATAATGAAGGTAGCATTCTTTTAGAGATGCAGTTGTTTGCCTTGAAGCTTGCAATTTTACAAGAGAAAATTGATTTCCCAGTTAAATAATCTTTACCGAGTGACAGCTGGCATCTCTTAAATCCATGGATGCATCGTCTTTATGAACTCTGTCTTGGCTTGTATTTCAAAGGGTTTCTTACTGTTTCTCACACTTTTTGGTGAAGCATATTTTGGCAATTCCCTTCTTATTTCTATTTCTACAAAACTAGAATTGCCTAAAACTTAAACGTTAGGGAGGCTTGATCTTCAACTTGAACTGTTTATCTGTTACTTAATAAAATACCTTAATGCGTTATAGTAAAATTCTCCAAAAATGCTTTTAAGTGATAAAATTGGAAATTAAAAAAAAAAAAAAAAAAAAAAATCAGCGTGGAAAATGAACTTGGTATTTTGAAACCAGAAAAAATGCCAGAAATGATTAGCATATTCAGGGATTCTACATTGGGCTTGTAAATGTATACGTTGATATGCAGCATTATATAAATATGAGCAGTGTCTGTCCTATTCAGACTTAAAATGAAATTTTGTCCTATCTTTTTTTAAGATACCGGAGAACAAAATAGTGCCTGTATATAGTGAAAACATTTTCTAGAATTCATGTTTACTTGATAAAGGTTGGGGAAGAGCCAAGTAAATACTGGTAGGGTGGGTAGAACTGTTTTGTTGTAGTTAATATAAAGTTGTGAAAACCTGTTCTTCCATCTGGTAAAACATTGCTAAGAAATTGCTGTTCCTGGAAGTATTTGCACATACCTACTAAAGAGCTGCCAAAACTAATAGGTCAGGAATTATGTCTTCAATTCCTCAGTCTCTTTAACCTCTTCCACACCTTGTCTGTACCTTGTTTTGAGTCTGGGTTAGTATATGAGAGTTTTGCTTCATCCTCTTCTGAGATTGATCCAGGACCTGAAGGGCTTGGCTTGAATGTTCATACTGAAAATAGTAGTTTCAATTCAGGAAGGAATTGCTAATTGGCAAGTAAACGCATCCTCGATGCGCTCTGCAGGTGGACGGACCTGGACGATCGTCATTCCTGTTGCACTGAATTAGAGATTATTCTCTGAATATAGCACTGTGTGGCGATACCAAAGCTAGGTTTGAGTTAGAAGCAGGGCAGGTTTGCTTGCAGCAGGATGCATCTGCAAGCTAATAAAGGCAGAGGGGGAGTGCTCTAGCATCCATGTATGTATCTGAAGATTTTTCAGCATGATGGTTTTGAAACAAAAATGTTGATTTCTTTTCCTAGCCTCGCGTTTTGCCACTTGACTGTTGTATACAGTGATCCAATAAGGATCTAAAGCTGAATTAACTTTTCATGGTATTGCTGTAAATTAAATGTAAAGAGGCATCACAAAGCTAAAAAGCAGACACAGAAGAGAAGTTCATTAAGCTTAAAAACTGAGATCCAGGCCATAAGGTTGGAAAAACAAAATTCACATTTGTGGCCTCCTTTCTGCTAGTCTCAACCTAAAACTGAAGCTTTTTCAAGAAGTATCAGTAAAAAATATTTTTGTGTTGTTTATAACTTATGGGCCATGTAGATCAGTGTTCTCAGTTCCCAGTGCCATCACTGGTATATTCTGCAAGCATACAATTTGTTCAGATTTTTACCTTAAAAGCAAATTTTCTATGCCTTAGTGATGGTTGGAAACCAACTTTTTGTACTAATAGTTAGGTCTTCACCTATATATTTATATATATGTTAATTAGTGTTTGATGTTTTGGTTGGAAGAGGAGGGAAGGTTTTTTTTTTCTCCCCTTTGGTAAATTTCACCAATCCAAACCCAAAAAAACTTTTGACATCAGGCCCTCAGAGTGGCTAGACCCTGCTCAAACCTAACAGCAGATCTTCGGCATCGCAGAGTGCGGGTTGTTCTGAAACGTGCATTCCTATCCAGAACCTGTGGGGATTTGGAGCAATAACGTCTGTTGTCTGTTGATGCAAATTTTGTCTGTAAGTGTATGATACAACTTCAGAATGGGACTGTGTTCAAAACTAATGTTACCATCATTGGTTCTGGGACAGTACCAGGTTTTGCATGTATGATATTGAAAACCTAACCCCTGTGTCCATCTGTGGCAGAACAAAATGTGTGAGTTCAGATTGAGAAGTACTTGTGTAGACTGCAGAAGTATTTAAACTAAATACTGTGGACTTTATGCACCAGTCCTCTTCCTAATAAAAAAGTTTTTTGTAGCAGGTTTAAGAAGCTTTTAACTTAATACTGTATTCACACTGCAGTCCTTTGTAAGCACAGAATGGTTAATATATTTTGAAATAAAATGCTGTTAATGTAAAGAAAACGTGAGTTTAATTTGAATGGTGGGATCTTCGGAATGAGCCACGAAGGTGGCAGTTAATCCGGTGAAATAACAACTTTGCTGGGGGCGTAGCACAAATTTGGTGGTGGATCTGGAACGTAACTTACTTCACTGAGAGAAGCCATGCTTCTCTTTTTTTTTTTTTTTTTTTCTTTTTTTTTTTCTTTTTTTCTTATTTTTTCTTTTTTTTTTCTTTTTTTTTTCTTTTTTTTTTCTTTTTTTTCTTTTTTTTTCTTTTTTTTTCTTTTTTTTCTTTTTTTTTCTTTTTTTCTTTTTTTTTTCTTTTTTTTTTTCTTTTTTTTTCTTTTTTTTCTTTTTTTTCTTTTTTTTTTCTTTTTTCTTTTTTTTTCTTTTTTTTTCTTTTTTTCTTTTTTTTCTTTTTTTTTCTTTTTTTCTTTTTTTTCTTTTTTCTTTTTTTTTCTTTTTTTTCTTTTTTTTCTTTTTTTTTTTCTTTTTTTTTTCTTTTTTTTTCTTTTTTTTTTTTCTTTTTTTTTTTTTTTTTGTTAGTTCTTTGCGTTTTTGGCCCGTGCCTCGGCGGTAACTGCGGTTCAGCTGACGGCTGGCAGCCTGCGGCGCGGCCGGCAGGAGCACGGCGGGGCGGCCGGGCCCACGTTCGGCAGCTGCAGGCAGTTCGGCGGCTTCCATTAGGGCTGCGGCATGTCTCGGGAACGGAAACGGTTGTCCAGCGTCAAAGCGTCATTTTAGATCATTCTGTTGACTGTTAAGCAAAAGTGATCAAATCCTCCCGGCGCGACAGCTCACACCTTTTAAAAAGAGATGTGGCTGCTGTTCTGCTTTTCATCCCTCTCACCGTTCGGTGGCCGGACTCATCACCTTGAAGCAATTCGTGTAGCATCAGCCAATTTCAGCTCATACCCCTTCGGTTTTCTGAAGGGACCAAACCTTGTTCAGTTTAGTACATACAAGGTGGTATTTTTAGCAATTGATGCTAGCAATGTAATAATGATTTTTTTTTTTTTTTTTTTTAAATGGGGGCAAGTCTTCCAAGGTGCTTACAATTCCTTTTAAGTTGGAACCAAGACAAAATGGAGCTGTAATTGGGCAGCCCAAAGCACGTGCACTTCTGTGAGAACTCCTTAGCTCTCATTAGTTTATTTTAGTGGTTTGAATGTGCAGACACAGTGTTTGTTTTTATTAAGACAAAATAAGTAGTTCTGTTCAGCACCCAGAGCTTTATAATGATGTAGCACTGGTGAAGCAACCTATTTGCTCAGTCTCAGCTGTTCCTTCAAAGCAGTTCAGGAGGTACACGTCCAATTTAGCTCATTAATACTTGGGGGTGGGAGGGCAGAGAATACGAAAGAGTTATCAGGCAGGTACATAGGCAAAAAATGTGCTGAAATAAATACTTTACTGATGTATTTTGAGCTTGACCAGAGATACAATTTAAAAGAGAATTGTTTCCTTGTAAGAAGTCATCATCACTTGCAAGCTACAAATCTGTTCTTTGGAGAATTCAGTCGGCTTGTTAATCTAAGCAAAGATCTTCTGGTACAGTAATTTATACTGTAGTATATTTCCTTGGAGTTTAAGACCTTTTCATACTCTCTTTTAACCTCAGAACAGTGTCAGCGCTGCCTGTTTGGGGCCACAATGTTTGTTACGATGCTGCTGTCGATTTTGAGGAGGACATACAAGACACCGAAGTCCTTACACTTTCTCCATTCCCTCCTCAGTTTTGCTTGTTGCAATTTGATTAGCTTTAAAAAGAACTGCTGGGGAAGGTGTGGTAAAAGCCCTTCCCTTAGATGGTTTCAGCTTTTAGCATTTAGTTAAAATGTGAGAAGAAATCTGTGGCAAGTAGCTGGTTACTACTTGCAAGATCAATTGTTTTGTTGTTTTTTGGGGATGGGTGGGAACTAAAACTAGAAGAGTAGCCTTTGCCATATGTTGCATTTTTTAATCCATTCTGAAATAATTATTGCTGTATGTGTTACAAGTTGGAAGAAAATTTTATATTAGGTTGGCTTTAATCTGTTTTTCAAAATTTTTCAAGATGAGCAGTGACACATGAATTTCCTCTCCCTGTTTAGTGAGGCCAAAGCAAACGGCTGCTGCACTAAATGCCGTGTCTGCCTGTATCAAAATGCACTCTCTTGTATGTCCGTGGAGGTTTATGTGTGTGCACACTCAAGGCATGTAGTTCAGGTGCATTTCTTTTGAGTATATTGACGATGGCAAGAGGTAGTTTTATGAAGCTTCAGGTTTGGATGATTACTGTGAAGATGTTTGCTTTGCGAGGTTGGAGTGTCTTCCTAGACAGTGAATAGACACAGCCAATGCCTTCCATTTGACAAATCAGACTGAAACTTCCACTGAACGCTAGTAAATTTTACAAGGATTCCTTTCAACTGTTTTTTATTCTTGCTGCCTCAGAAGACTGTTGTGATAGACTCAAGTTTTACTCTTTAATTAAACGACACTGAAAAGCAGTAGTTGGTAAAACTAATGTTTGTGAGATTTTTTTTTTTTAAAGTCCCTTGTTCACAAGGCAATTGCAGTCTTTTGGCTTTACCACTTAAAAATACCAGTTGGTATTTTGAGAAAAAAAAAACCTTAATCTTTCAAGTACATCTAGTTGACAGAAATCCAAACACACAATGAATGATTACAAGGAAAATACTATGAAGAATGAAAGCAGTTCAGAAAAACAAGATGGTGTCTCATGCTGCCATACAAAATCGCATGCTGCAACTGAAATATATAATGTAATCTTAACATATAAAATGTTAGAGGAATTAAGCTTCCATGCAAAAGAATAAGTTTATTCTTACCTTTGACTGAAGAATGTTTAAATCCTTTGACATATCTTTGTATCAAACGATTAGTAGCATTCTTCTACCATCCCAAATCAGGAACTACTCTGTGCTGATTACTTTTCACAAGAAAGTTCACGCTTCACGTCACAGCAAGTAGTTCCCACCCCCCACGCCCCCTTTTTTTTTTTCTTTTAATCCCCTTTTCTTTCTATGAGGTAATCTTTGAAACGATGGTACTAATGCTGCCGTTATCTGTGCTGTGTTGGACCCCGATGGCTCCTTTGAGGATCCAGTTCCCCCCTGAAGTTCTGAGCATGCACGCCCACGAGCGGTTTTGTCACGTCGGCAGATGCAAGATGGTTTAAGGAAGACACAAGAAATGCATTTAGCAGGTTCGCAATGGTAGGAAACAACCGACTCAGGGCTCTGCTCAACTGAAGTGGGCTGTATTCCTGAGAGGCACAACCTGCCACTGGGGCTACTGGTTGGGGGGCTGCCGTGGAGTGCATAACCTCTCGCAGGGCTGAAACTATCTGACATCAGTGAACGGTTCTAGGGCCTCCGGAGCTCTCTCTTGTAATGTGTTGTTGCATGGGTTTCTGCTGCCTTGAAGCAGAGAACAGATAAAAAGAAAAGACAGGTGGGAGCCACGAAGCAAAGGAATAATATATCTATTGTTTCCCAAACTCCCTTACTGGTCTCTTAGTCTCCGTATTTTATGTTCTTAATCTTTGCCCTGTTCCCCAGTGCTCAGACTACAATAAGCTTGAGGAGGTGTGTAGGACAGGAGCACAGTGCCCAAAGTGCAGTGGGAAGCTGAGAAGATGCACGAGTAGCACTGAGACCGGGCTGCGTATCTGGATAATGCTTGAAAGCAGCAACAGTTATTGAGAACTGTTGATGGGGATGTTGCCCTCACTGTCGCCCTTTCCAAAACTGTGTTCATGACCGCATGCGATAGAGCTGGTGGTCTGCCTGGCAGGAATGCACAACCAAATGCACGACCAGCACGAAGCACGCTGGACTCTTCTACTGTTTCTATACCATTTTTGTGTTGTAGTAACAGCTATAAAAATCTCCGTCCATTCTCTCAGCTAGTTCCTCCTCCCTTCAGTATAACTCAGTTTTAAATGCTGAGGCACTTGCAATGCGTGCAGGTGAAAGCTGGGGTCCAAATACGTACCAGCAGCTGTGTGGGGTGGGTTTTGTTTGTTTTTTTGTTCTTGCAGACCTAGAACAGTGCACACACTTGCATTGTTGGTTCATAGGTAGAATCAAATCCTTTATGCTGTAGATAACTAAGACAGGCTCTTTGCTTTGATTTTTGCCTTTCTTACCAGAATCTGATCTTTTTTAATTCATAAAAAACAAAAATTATCTTGGGCAAACACCTGCTTTTGCTTACTTAAGAAAGCGAACAGCAGAGAAAAGACCATGGTGATAAAACTTTAAGAACCTTTGGTGCTTTCATAATTTGTTGATAAGTATCTTTCAGCTGAAGTTGTCTGACAAATTTTAGAGAAGCCCATAATCTTGGCTGGATTGATTTAAGGCCTTCCTTTATTTTATGGGAGAAAAAAAGTTTAATTTAAGTCCTTTTCATTACCATACAGAGCACATCCTTTTTAAAGTGCTGCTGTTGCTGACTACACACTGTGATTGCTCTAAGAGCTGGAGAGGGTTTAGGTTGCAACTTTTGCATCATAGTCTGTGTTTGTCAGTTGTCAGTAAAAAAAATTTATCCTCATTGTCAGGGCTGTGAATGTAATTGGGCTACTTAGAAAAGGCACACTCTGGTAATTTTGGCTTGTATGAACTTCAGCAGTTTCTTGAGGCCTTCACCCTTATGCTGGTGAGTTAAACTGCCCCCAGTCTGGGCTTATGGACTGAAAGGCTAAGAACATTTGATATGGAGATTTAGACATTAATGGTACAAACAGGTTTATGATCACTAGATTAATGATAAGCACGGTGGCAAAGAAGTATTTCCATATAATTCTCTTCTAGCTCTGTTTTACCAACAGAGGTAACTCACCTGTTGCAGTTTAAATAGTTAATCTTTTCTATGATGCCACAGTCAATGAGTTGTAACGATGTGTATGTTTGTAATTACTATGTAAGGGAGGCTTTATTCAGGTAGGTTTATCAAACTAGGGGGATTTTCAAGAAAAGATATAACACCAGTAGCTTTAGGAGTCAAAT